TATAGGGCTTGATACTCCCCCCCCCCATCTTCTTTTCTCCTACTATTGAATGTCTACATGAAGCTGCGAGGAAGGTCATCAATCTGCTTGTTGATGATATTTCCATTCCAGATTAAACTGAAGATACAATTAACCCTCGACCTCTGTGCCTGAAAGCCATTAGTATTTAGGTAGGGAGAAATAGGCTAGCTTTTAACCCCAGCAAGACGGAGTGGTTGTTGATCCCAGAAGTTGATGTATCCTAACCTAAAGAACAAGGGCAGACCCTTGAACAATCTCATCTCGGTGCCCATTGGGGCTGCTTTTGGAATAGAAGCCTTTGTTGATGGGTCACACATTCCCTTGTACCTCATGTTTCAACTCTTGCAATCTGCTGCACATGGAGCTGCCCTTAGAAGTTAAAAGTAATCCAGGATGCCGCAGCCTAATTATTACAGGCATTTTATCCATTTAACGTCTCTACTGTATTATGTGGGCTGCATTAACCCTAAATAAATCAAATAATTGGATTCATACCATCACTGAAATTATTAAAAGGAAAAATAAGGAGGGTTCAAATTTATCTTAGTGCAGATAGATGACTACATCTATTGATTTATAACTGACCTGAATGTTATGTTAACACAAGCACAGAGAAACTACAGTCTATCTTGCCCACACTATCCAACTAAGTCACAGCACAATTTACTTCCCAGACTGAGTAGCAAATATGATTTGGGGAAAATGAAATGGAGATGAAGTGTACGTGACTGAGACAAGTTAATACATATCATTTGACTACTAGAATGTACTTGGCCAGCCCCTTTCTCTCTTTTGAACCTGTCAAATGTTTTTCCTAATTGTTTTTCAGGCTGAACCTCTTTTGTCATTCCCATATCCTTTTTGTCAAAAGCTCACCTTTTGCTGTTATTCTAAAAATAAAATAAAAGAGAGAAATATATGAAAACAAACAAAACCCGCTGAAGTTTCTTAAGATTTCACATTCCTAATCTAATGCCAGATTTGCGATTCAGTTTCCTTTCTGGAAACAAACAAAGACCGAGGATACTGCAGTATGAATTGACAGCCTCTAGTTATAGCATTTGGAAATGATCTCACAAACTTGACTGAAAACGAACTTCTCTATCAGTTCGTGACATGACTGCAACCTCTGTGCATATTGCACATGCCTGTAAACTTATACTTTTTTTTGACATGCATAACATTACCTGCCTCCCCAGACATTAATTTTACATGGGAAAGGGGAATATTATCACTTCAGCTTTACCAGTGGTACTACTACCACTTCAGAAAGCTAGAATTCAGGTAGCAACTGGTTAGTTGCTACTAGTTACTAATCCAATGTATTTCACATAAACCCTGTACCTTGAATTTTGATATGAAGTTGTTTGCAGCATTGATTACAGTTTGTATATGATCGCCTGTAGTTAATCCTTAATTGCTACAGTTAAATTTATAAGTCACATTCATAAAAATTGTGCTTTTCACCTATTGTTGGAGATTTGGCTTCTAATATATAGAAATCATAAACTTGTTCTGTATAAAATCAGGATAGATAGATTCTACAGAAGAACCGTGTGCTAGGATCAGCTTTAATAAACATATTTGCCTCTCATTGATTTTAGTAAGAAGTAAAAATCCACAAAATAATACTAGAAGCCAATAATTACAGATAGGACTGTTTCAACAATCTTAAAAACAAGACTTTTCAATGGAGATAAACCCACACATTTAGCTTGAATCTTTGAAGTGTCTAGCTAGAGGATATGCACACATAAGAATGGAGAAAAGACCTTACATATTGGCATGAAGTTGTCTTCTGAAAACATTACCTTGTTCTAACCCGGGACCTTTGTTGGAATCTCCAATAGACCTGTGGCAGTGTGGCACCCCAATTAAATCACAAATAAATTGTAAATTACTAAACTTTCAAGAGATCTTGGGTATTTGGAGGTGTAGCATGGGCCAGAAAAGGCTACTGGTTTTCCCCTTAATTACCCATCATTCATATAAATAACATTTGATCTCTGTTTTTTGTTAAATAACATCAACAGAAGGGAGAACATGTTTGTGTCAGATTCAAGTTGTACATCCAGAAGTCATCAGATTCTATTTTAGGTTAAAAGAATCCAAAGATGACAGAGTTGAGGATGACCTCTTTCAATCACCTAAATAACAGAAAGGCAGCATGGTGTAGGCAAATACCAGCAGCCTAGAGAAACTCTTCAGGTCACTCAGCAAGCTCTCTAACCACTGGATTTTATTTACCTTTGTTTTTAGGTTCTTTCAATTCAGTTGTTATCATGTGAATAAGCCCAGGCAAAGAAAATGGATAAGAAGGAAATCTTCAGGAGTGTATTGATGAACCTTTATTTTTAAATAACTACAGCAGAAAAATAAGGCTGCTTTTCACTGTATATCTAAAACTATGAAATTGAACCCTCCCACTAGCACTTTGAATCTTCTTCTTTTATTTTCAGGCTTCACACAAATCTGCCTTTTGACTCACAGCCTTGTTCACACACCCACATGGGCATTTTAGCCGTTTCAGCCATATTCAGAGGGCAGTGCTATGAGTAGGCCTGTGCTTGAGATATGGTTCTCCTTCAAAGGGGGATGTATGCTCAGAAAACTCCACTTGCATCAAAAGAATACACCTGACATTTGTCTCTTTGTCTAATAGTAATTGATTCAGAGAAGTTGATGAAACAAAATATTTCAATGCAATAATATTTTAAAAGCAATACATTATTTCTCAAAAGTTTCTAGAGTTTAGCAACAGGATTTGTCCATGTTTCTCAACATAATTAGTTTAGGTAATCCCCAACCTCTATAAACTATTTTTGCGAATCACACGTGAATTAGCCAATAATTTAAAAATAGGCTATTTGATATAATAAAACAACAGGAAAAACAACATTGGAAGGGACCTTGGAGGTCTTCTAGTCCAACCTCCTGCTCAAGCAGGAAACCCTATAATGTTTCAGACAAATGGTTGTCTAATCTCTTCTTAAAATACAACAAAGACAGGGAGAGACATACTTCTTTACTGAAAAATATATACCAATAAGGGAGTTGTCTCCATGCTTTGTGAGCAAAAGTGTAGTATGCAAGGGATGGACTTCAGAAAGATTTCCTATAGAGTATGCTGGCTCCCTGCCACAAAGTGTTGTCTTTTTGCCAGAAATAGAAATGCCTACTTAAGAGGACACTTAGGCTCAATGCCAAGACCCAACCAAAAGCCCATAAAGAAGATGAGGATCAATGATCCTCAAGATGAGAAATAGAGGAAGGAAACTAGGCAAGAGGACCTCAAAGATTCTGGACAGGTTATTTTGGATAGCTCTCTGAAACAAGGCAGGGTTTTTACAGGAGCCACTGCTATGAGTGCAAAGGACATTGTCCAAGTACCTGACCCTCTTGCACAGCCAGCCCAGAGCAGAAATTTTACAAAATATTATTGCATTTGAGCAAATTGGGGCGAGTGTGGTGCCTTTCAAATTTGTTCATGATTCACAGGAAGGCACTAACCATGCTTTGAGAACCATTGTAGTAATGTAATGCAATATTATCCTCACACTAACAATTAGGAGCTGCCTACTGGTTTTTCTAGTTCATAATTAATTCTGATTAAAATAAGAACAAGAACAACTCAGCTTTATTCATTTACATAGTTGATAAGATGTAAATGAGAAAAGCTGGGTTGTTCTTATTCTTATTTTAAGTACAACTCATTCTCTGGCAACATCTCTGATTTGCCATGTCCCCATGGTGTTGCCTTTCTCCTGTTCACAGTCGACACACAAGACAGCCTTACGTCATGGCTAGCTCTACAGATGTTTTCCCTTAAATTGTCAGGAACCAGTGATAATTTCAGGGTGCATACAATCTGTTAATCTTAACTATCCATGTTAGCAAAAGTACAGTGAGTTAATTTAAGGGAGTAGGATAAGCCCACTTCCTATAGGTTACTTTGGTGTATACAATCCTTTCCCTTCTGTCCCTTATGGCTCCCTTCATTTTTTTCCTCTGTGTAAAGAGTTGATGTCGCTGCTAGAAGATTCCCACCTCTCATTATTATTTGCCCATAGGCTTGTTTTCTAGAGGGTTTGGTGCCCCTTTGAAAAAAGAAATTAAACTAATTCTCCAAACAAGCATCTCTGATATCTGGATTGTGGAGTCTGGGATGCAGCAGGTTTTAAATATCACTCCTGTTTCATTGCTTCATATAATGAACTTGAGGAGGTACTGGGTTTGAACAAATGACTAGATCTCTGGTATTTAGCAGTGCTATGATCATTTGTTGCTAGCTGTTGATGTTCCGAAAAGGGAAGACGATCAAAAACAGAAGTTTAACCAAAGGCTTTGTTTAACATGCCTGTAAACTGAAATCAGAACTGAGGATAGAAAGGCAGAATAGGAGTCAGCAAGTTTTATGCTGGTTTAGTTTTCTGCTGGTTCAGGGATGAGTAAGTAGCATGAGGAAAGACTTACAATTAAAAAAAAAAGCTGGTAGTGAGAAATCGCCCAATTTTTCAGATCTACTTTAAAAAAGCAGTAAAAAGTACACTAAATGCTGAATATGATGCTAAATTGTATGTTTCGTGATGTGAATGCAGAAAGCAGCAGAGATAGTGTCAAATGGAGAAACACTAAAATCATAGAGGTCTAACTATATGTTCCCCATTGCTCCCCCTAAAAGTTAATGAGTTATTACACAACAATCAGAAATGAGTCAAATTGGGATAACTGAGAATCAAGAATACTCAAAGATACTTCAAAAAATCCTGGAGATCTTCACAGAAATTTAATTTTTAAATTTTCAGCACATGGTTACTTTTTAATGTGTTCCATCAACTAGAATAGAGCTCTTTACCATGTGCATTTCTAGAACTAATTCAGAACTAAATAGAGGTTTTCAAACTACCACTGAAGGAAATCTCCAACATTCTCTAACTGTTTTAATGCTCTATAGAGTTCCATCAATTTGATGACCTTACCGGGTGTCCTCTGGCTCCGATAGGCACTCCACCGTGCTGGGCTTCTGTTCCATTCACCGCAATTCCATCCAGGATCAATAAAGAGAGACCAAGGTGGGCTCCGCCCCCAGAGGCAACACTCCACGGTCGCCACGACAGATGTGGATTTGAGATTTGAGGAAGGAGGGGCTATTATGCTATGAAGCAAGCCCCATTGTGGTCCTCTTCACTGTTGGCAAACTGCAAGCATTCTGGGTCAAAAGCTTGAAGAGGAGACCTTATAAAGATAAAAAGAAAGAACAAATTTCTTATTCATATTTTATCTTGAGTCTTTCTCATTCTCTTGACTTTGGAACAAAAATTTGAAAACGTTCTAATTCACTGACGTATACATGTAACATGCTGGTTACAACATTATCTAATTTCTGAATCTAGCCTCTTAAATCCTCAATTTTTGTAATTCAAAACCACAAAAAACGCAAGATGAAATATATGAATGAAATACAGTTTTGTCCATGCTTGTTTATTATGAATATATTTTATATTTCAAATAAAAAAAATAGAAGGAAGAAAAAAAATATTTTGAACACTGACACATTGGCTGAATTCTACATGCATTTAACGAAGGAAGAACTATTCTTTGACAATAGCAATTATCCCCATTTTTCTTGCGATGGTGCCTTCCTCTTGTCTCCAGACATCCATTGCTATACTGGTGTTAAAGCAGCATTTCCCCCCTTATTCTCACATTATTTATCGGCAGCCTAAAATGGTATGAAATTAATTACTTTTTGCAGCACTTCGGATGCTTAGAAACAAAGCCATGTAACCAGTAATGGAATGATCGGAGAAGAGCCTTTTGAATGCTTTAGTCAATGTGAGACATCCTTCCATCCTCCCCACCCACCCCAGTCAGTTTCTTCACTGTGATTCTGTTACTTATTCTGCAAAGATTTGGAAAAATACTTTAAATTATTGCCTCGCCTTCATGCCCAGTGATGGGAGGCTAGCATCTTATCTTGGTAAAGGGGAAAGGCCTGTTGTTAGCCCAAGAATTAAGAGAAGATGTGAGGCTATCAAGATATTTCTAAGAGTGTCCTGGAATATTGCCCAGATTGTATTTCTTTCATTAATGCCCACCTGCAATGAACACTTGAGCATTATTTATTTAAATATTTATTATTTATTCATTAGTTTTGTACAACCTTTCAGTTCAGAAATGATTCTAAAGTAGTGTACAATACTAGAAACAGGTAACAATTAATAAGAAATGACAGCAATAATAGAGAACAATCTTCTGTCTCAGCCTTATGCAAATGCTCTCTGAAGGATCATACCATCCAAATTAGCCCACCACAAAAACCCAGGTTTTAAGGAGTTTTTAAAATCAGACCAGGGGAGAGAGAAAACAAATTTCAGGGGAAATGCTGCTCCAGAGGCAGGTAGTGACCAAGAAAGCATGCTTCCTGGTTCCCACTGACCCAACATGTCAATATATCAGAACATGCCAACTCTGTGAAATCAAACAGGTAGAAAAGATCAGACAGAAAATAAATGGTCCCTCAAATAGCTATGCCCTAAGCCACAAAAGGCTTTAAAGATGATAACTAGCATCCTAATTGCACCTGGAAAACTACCAGCAGCCTGTGCAATGTTATATGGCCTTACTGAGACATCCCTGGGTCACTACATTTTGGATTAGCTGCGGTTTCTAAGTGGTCTAAGTGGTCTTCAGACTTCTGTGGAACCTGTTGCAAAAAGTCTATTTGAAAGAGGACCAAACCATGAACGACTGTCTGAAGAACAGTTCAAATCACTTGAGTTCAACAGTTTTTTCAGAAGAGAATGCACAATGCTTCAATGCTGGGGAACCATTCTTACCTCAAAGAAACTGACTCTATAACAATGCAAATTACATACTACCTAACAAGTCAGGAGGAGGCAAGATACAATAAACAAATGGATGTTCGGACGAGCAGTCTTGAGGATTCCATCTCCTTCCCTGGGAGTGACGGGTGCAAAAGGGCGTTGATACTTACTTGATACTCCCGTTCTCTGTGAGTTGTGAAGAGCATCCAGTAGTGGGAGGTGCTTCAGTCTCTGCTTGGATATGCTGGGCTTAATTGCGAGGATGCTCCTCCTCCTCCTCCTCCTCCTCCTCCATGGGAGTCCTCCCTAGCGTCCCCCAGTTTTGGCAAAGTCGAAGTGATGAAACCCTCGTATCCTTCACCCTGTCTAACCGCTGACCGGAATAGAACCCCACCAGACGGAATTTGGGTGGGGCTGGATGCTCTTCATAGCTCAAGAGAACAGGCGTATCGGGTAAGTACCAACGCCCTTTCTCCAATGAGTTCAGATCATCCAGCAGTGGGACATATCAAAGCTTGGCTTGTCCTACAGGAGGGTCTCGGTCTGCTGTGGAGTCCCCTCCTGATCCCTGTGGACCCATTACAAAACTCTCCTACCAAAAGAAGCCTCAGCGGAGGCAAAGACATCTATTTTATAGTGTCTAATGAAGGGTGATAGAGAGCCCAAGTTGTCGCCCAACAAATTTCTGCTATTGGCGCTTGTGTGGCCCATGCCGCCACCATAGCAGCGCTCCTGGTTGAATGCACTGTTATGCCCCTGGGCACTGGTAATGATTGAGTCTCGTACGTCTTAGCAATCGTGGCTTTCAACCACCTGCCTATTGTCAAAGAGGAGACCTTGTGCCCTTGATTGGTAGCTTGAAAGGAAATGAAAAGAGACCATGTTTTCTTGAAAGGTGTCATGAGGTTTAAATACATACGTAGAGTACATCTCACGTCAAGCCGATGCCATTGGCGTTCTAGGCCCTGATTTGTTCTCAGACAAAAGTTGGGAAGGACTACTTCTTGTGCCCTGTGGAAAGCTGAATTAATTTTTTGGATGAACATAGGATCTGGATGAAGAACTACTCTGTCGGAGTGAAAAATACAGAGGTCTTGTCTGACTGATAAGGTGGCTAGTTTCGAGATAAGTCTTGCTGATGTTATTGCTACTAAGAAAATTACCTTGTATGAATGAAAGTGGAGACTCATAGTTTTCAGGGGCTCAAAGGGGCACTTCGTGACCGTGGTGAGAACCCTATTAAAGTCCCAAGTTGGATAACGGTGCACCACTGGGGGTTGTAAATTTGTGGTGGCATCACAAATAAAGCTGCGTATGTGTGGGTGATGTGAGATAGTCCGCAAATCTCCCCAGGTGACGACTGAAGCTAGGGCTGCCACCTGTCTTCACAAGGTGTTCGGTGAGAGTCCCTTGTTGAGGCCCTCTTGTAAGAACCCCAATACTTGTGCCACTGACGGAGAGGTGGGGTCTATGTGAGATTTAACACACCATCTATAGAAAATGTTCCATGTGGCATTGTATATGCAGTTTGTTGAACGGCACCTGGCCACTTGGATGGTGGAGATGACTTTGTTCGAGAGTTTCTCGCTTTTCAGACATCTCCACTCAACTTCCATACAGCTAGGTGGAGCCATTGAGGGTCTGGATGTTGAATCGGACCCTGAGTGAGCAAGACTCTGTTCAGCGGAATTCTCCATGGTTCTTCTGATTACAGATCCATAGATTCGCGAACCACGGCCTCCTGGGCCAGTATGGTGCCACCAACAACAGCTCTGCCTTCTCTTCCAGAAGTTTTTGTACCACCTTGGGAATCACTGGCAGAGGGGGGAAAGCATACTGAAGTCCTGGGGGGCCAACAACAATGGAGAGCAATGATGTTCTCTGTTCCTTGAGCTGGGTACCTGGAGATGAACCTCAGGAGCTGTGAGTTTAGGGGAGAGGCGAATAAATCTATGACCGGTTGACCAAACTTTTGTACTGCTTCTTGAAACAAACTCGGATGCAGGCACCACTCTGATTGATCAACCGTGGTCCTGCTCAACCAGTCCACCTGGGTGTTTGACAGACACAAGATGTGCTCCGCCTTGATGGAGAGCACATTCTTTTCTGCCCAAAAGCACAGTCTCTCTGTTGTCTCAAGTGGGTAGCCCCCCTGCCTGTTTATATGGGCTTTTGTTGTGTCATTGTCGGTTAAGATGAGGGATGCACTTGGTCCGAATATGTGGAAACTGCGAAGAGCCAGATGGACTGCTCTGAGCTCCAACCAGTTTATGCTGCATGATTGTTCTGTTGCTGACCAACGTCCTTGAGCCGTGAGGGACTGGAAGTATGCTCCCCATACAAACAGAATGTTATCTCTCCATCTGGTAAAAAAAGATGCGGCCGTTACCCACGTGTCTGACTGATGTGCCTTACAAAGAGCTAACTCAGCCCTTTTATCTTCCGGTTTAAGCACCTCTTCTGCTTCACTGGGAATAGTGGAGGAGGATGCTAAGGCTACGACCGGATCATCAACCTCTGGTGTGTTCAGGGAGTTAGAGAATTCTGATGCCAAATTGAAAAACTTCCTGTGGTATCACATGGGGGCGGGGTACACTGCTGCGGAAGCCCATTGTTTTTGTACCAGATCAGAAAACATCTGCAGAACTGGGACTACATCCACCTTAGAAATTGGTTGGGAGAAAATTAAGTCCTCTGACTCTCCTGTAATACTGGTTGTTGGAAAGAGAGGGTAGATTTATCAATGCATGTGGTGTTTTTGGCCTTGAACAAGAGTGACTTAAATAATTGAGGGCAGAACAGGCCGGTAAATATCGATCGATCAGGACTGAGGCCCTCATCATCCAACATGCCCCTTTCTAGGGGATCCATCTCTGACAGGACCGGGTTGCTGTCATGTGCTGATCCTGCCTCAACTTGTTCCATTTGGTCATTTTGGTCTCCTTCGTCTTGTAATCTCTGAGGAGGCATGTGTGGGATCATAGAAATCTCCCCTTGGGGAGGTACCTGAGGGTAATGTTGATCTGTCCTGCCATTAGAGTAAATGTAGCCTCAGGGGCTTATCATACAATGGGCACGATCATTGAAAAAGCAGGTTGGACCGGAATAGCCGTGCTGTGCCTGGATGGCATGGACAGATCCAGGTAGTGGTGGCTGGGGTTCTTGAGCCTGAGCCGGCCTAGAGGGAGACGGAAGCTGGGAATTCTTTTCAGACTCCCGCATGCACTTTTTCATGTGCTTTTCTCACGCTCTCTGGCGCCTATTGGCGTCTTTCTCTGCAGCCTTTGAAGGTCCCTTGGACTGTTTTGACTTGCTTTGGGTTCTTGTCATGGCTCTAGAAGTTGATGCTCTAAAGCTACTACCACTTGCCATTATGACCCGTTGAGATGCAGTAGGCCTACGAGGCTG